GTTCTAGCAGGGAACGCTTCATAACATTTGGAAGAGGTTTTTCTATAGGTCAACCTGTTTAGGTTTAGAACCACTTACGAGAAGTGGGGTCTACTTGGACGCTACAGGAGAACAATTCCATCAAGTCCTCAAACAGGGGTATCCAATTCTAGGGAACTCGGTGCACGTTGCGGCCTCTGCACCACTTGGAGAAACAGGGAGAACCACTCTGAAGTAGCCATCGCTACGGTACTTCGCCAGACAGGAGATTCTCGGAAGAGAACTCGGTGCACGCTGCGACCTCTGCATCACTTGGAAAAACAGGGAGAACCACTCTGAAGTATCCGTCGCTACGGTACTTCACCAGACAGGAGATTCTCGGAGAAGCAGAACCTGGATACTTGTTGCGGCAAGGAACCTGCTGAAGGCAGTGTCGACTTGAGCCCCATCCTCACCGGAGGCGCTGGGTATACAGAAGACGCCGGTTAAGGGCCACCGAAAGAAGGCACCCAAACCTTGCCGAGGTCGGTTTTCAATCGAGAAAACGCGAATAGGAAGGACGATTGGTTATAGGACACCAAGCAGAGGAAATCAAAAGCCAGAACGACCAAGCGCTCAAACGGGAGTAGGCAGGAGTTCGACAGTGACTAGCTGGGCACTTTAAAAAGTGAGCACAGGATATCCGAGGTCTAGAAAAGAAGACTAGGACTCCGACTGGTTGACGTTACCAGGCAAATCAAAAGGCGTACAAAGATTGGTTAAGGGCCACCAAAGATCAAAAGGCAGGAGTGCGGAGTTTTTGTCACAGGAACGAACTCAAGCACTAGCGATTACCCATGTGGTAATTCAGAAGAAAAGCCCTCATCTGAGGCACATGTTGAAGACGTGCTAAAGCCCTTCCCAGGGAAGGCAATCCAGGAATCTTAGGACAAGACAAGATTCAAGATGAACATCCCACGAGAACACGACCAGGTATCTGAAGAAGATACACCAGAAACACGACCGGTGACTTCTGACGAAGAAGTACCACCATTTACGCTCAGTGACGCCACCACAGAGGAGTTAACAGACCTCTATGACAAAAAGTCGACAGAAGCGGTTCAACTTCGACTTCAATTTAGGCTAGGACGAGCCTACGAATCAACAGATCGCCCAAGGCTAGAGCAGCTCGAGGGTGAGATCGAAGAAATAAGACAAGTTCTTCACGGAAGCGAA